ATAAATTCGTTACACAATATTAGTGCCTTAAAAATCATTCTAATAAATAATTAAAGAGTATACTTGTATTGGGAAATATTGTAAATTATCTCCAGAATGCACGAATTCATAATCACCAAACATCACAGGCTTGAGATCATTTTCATACGTTAGTCCCTGGAGACAAAGCAAAGAATGAATTAATATTAACAATATACAACAATATAAGAAGAAGTACTTGCGCATCTCATTCCGAATATATCGAAAGTATTCGAAGCATTTTGTTTTATCTTAACGTAGAATTATACTGAAAATAATAGAGGGACTGCATTGCGACATAGTCGCGACATTTGAAACACACAAGCGACCGTTACTACGTACCCACACGTTGAAGTTTCTAGGCGCGCTTGACATGTAACCGGCCGGTACGATTGATCTGGGAACGTGCTCCAAAGTAAAGCCGGTCACATAAATAGTGCTCCGTAATCGTATCAGGAGATATCCGGGGAAATTCTGGAATGCCCAGCAAGCGCCAGGTTGTATCGCGTTCTTCTGTATCACCGTCCGCGGATTATTATCATAGCTTTGATAATACAACGGAAAACCGAAAATGGTGAAAGCTCGCGATTTGACGTTGTATTCTCGAGTGTTCCGTGTACTGATAATTTCACCTCCTGTAAATACATGTTGATTTACTTGTCGATACTACCCGCTCACGTTACGCTTGTTCCAGCAATTAACCTTTAGGCTGCCGACATTTTTTCGTTAAAAAATTTCTTTTTCTCAAAAATTTTTCGATATAAATAACATACACATTGCGTAGAATTTTGAGATTTGTGCAGAGCCACAAAAACTTTCCCGACAGTCTAAAGATTAAGATACCTGCTGACTCCAAAGCGTAATCCACTCGACCCGTCTTATCCGCGTCATATATCTGTAGAATCTCCTTCACTATCTTGCGAACATGTTCCTCCGACATGTGAGCGTCCGAATCGTTGGCATTATCATTCGAAACTGCTCGATCTGCAAATATATTTGTGATTTTTATTGTTGCCGATGGCATACGATTAGAATAGATTGAATAAGTCCTAAAATTACTTAATGAACAAATGCGATAGATGACGTTATGTTTTAAAACTTGTGAAATTTTTGTCTTATCTTTGGACCTTTGCGAGATGTGAGCATATTTTCTGTCAGATTCTCCTTCGAAATTTTAGGTGGAAAATAGTCAGATAAGATTTTATCCACTTGTGTCTTGGTATAATTGTTCACAAAAAATGTTAATTCCACGGAAAGGTTGCGCAGCTTCTCGAATTCATGTTTAATTACTTTGAGTTCATTATTCAGTACGCTTATTTCACTAATATTTAGTTTATTTGACATAATGATGTTTTTTTCCTGCAAGGAACATCATGAAATCTGTGAAATCATCGAGCAATTATTGTCTTCTATTCCGACTTTTTTCCTGACAAGAAACTGATACGATAGTAAACTTACATTGTGCTCTTTCTCAAAATCGACTTGTCTTCTTTTATAATCTTCCAAGATACAAGAAATATTTATAAGATATTCCTACGTACACGCAAACTTTAAATAGGAGATTACCCAAAATATAAGAATAGAATATACAAAAATTTCAATTTATACCTTTAGATATGTCTGTTCCCTTTCGAATATTATTATCTTACTAGCCAAAGTACTGCTATCAATTAATTTCTCTTCAGCTTCTCTACTTTCATTACTGTCCACTTTTAAAGCAGATAAGAACTCATCTGTCATATTCTCTGATGTATCATGAACAGCAGGAAAGAACAATAAATATCTCATTATATGCCAAGAACCTGAAATGTGTTTCATATTTCATGTAAATACTTGTACAGTAGTTAAAAGAAATCTCATTTTCTTTTTCTGTTAATGTATTGATACAGTGTTTCAATGTAGAATACATTAAAACTCACCAAGCATGAATAAAGACAATAAAAAAGGCAAAAGGATCCACATCCATATTTTTTCACGTAACCATTTTCTAACACTGTTAAATTGAATTAAATAATTGATTATTCCATTTTTATACTCTTAACAAATTGCAATTATTTCAAAAATAAAGAAAGCATATATGAAATCTTTACCGAAAATTTAAGGATCTTTTAGAATACATATGAGCTGAGTTCGCATGTTTAAATCGTTCGTGCATACTTTCGTTTAGAGCTGATTTTCCTGCAGAATTTACTGCATGTACACGTGAAATATCCTTAAAATTCAAACAGCAAGTTACGTTTTAATATATAAATATATTAGAATTTTGCCAACAGAAAATAATATACACAATGTAAAATTAAATTACACACTACAAATTAAATTACCAAGTGAAAGTGAGGAGCTATTTCTTTCGAAACGACAGTTGTTCTTCGTGAAATTTGACCTTCATAACTGACAAACTCATATCTCGAGTTTCCACTGTCAACATTGTGTACAAACTGCCTTAATGTCTTAGACATCGCTAGCACATACGAAACTGCTTCATAAGGATATCGTGATGCTTGCAAATATATTTGGTTTATATTCGAATACACACTGAAACATTTAAATGTATTCAAGCATGCTCATAATTTTATTGTTGACACAAAAGTGTCAATCTATCTTTATTTATATCTTCTGCAGAATCAATTATTCTTAATCATCAACAATTTGAGTTATAAACTAATGTTTACAAATATTTTCCTCCAGCAAGAAAAAGGTCATGACTGTAAGATTTACAATATGGATGCAAAGAGAATATAATCATAGATGGGGAGATACTCACACTGACCAAAACCAGTAAGAAAAATTACAAGATAATTCACAGATAATTAGTATAAAATATGCAATACATGATAAAATTTAAAATATACATACTTCAGCGGTTCACCTTGCTCATAGGTCTTATGAACAGATTTTGGTTTACTCCAAGAATTTTTTCTCTCTCCTTCTTTAGATAAACAATTGCTGAGAAGTATTCTGCATGGTACAATACCTTTGTACTTTTGTTCAACCTTATAATTCGATCCATTCTCCTTATTTTCATTTAAGCCATTGATAAATATTTGTCTGTTGGTTCTTTAATATTCTGATCATCATTCTGGTTTTCTCAGTATCAAAAAAAACTTACTGACTTTGTGTTCTGATTATTTGTTACACTTCCTGTCATAGATTTTTTTTTATTCTTCTCTATTGCTTTCATATTTTCCTCATGTATTTTGCTGTTCTTTCTAGTCCTATAAATATTTAAGAAAATAAAAGTGTAAGTAATGAAAATATATTTAATTATATGTATCTTGGATAATATGTATTTATGTTGTATCAATAGTAAATACATATTATGCATTGTAAGCAATCTAGTACTAGGTTTCTCGCTATTTGTTACTTCTTCAAGTATGAAATCTCTTGCAATATCTATTTCTGACATCATAATGATGCTCTGTTACAAATTTGATTCCTTATGGTTTGAGATTATAAAATTGTGTAAATATGATTTATACCTGTTACGCAGTTCATAGTGATGTTGCTTAGTTTTCATTCTCCTGTTACGCAGCTCATAGTGTTGCTTAATTTCCATTCTTCTGCTAAACAACGAAATATAAAGACGTACAGCAAATTAAAGTGTGACACTATAACTTTAAGAACTAATACTGACAGATAGCAGTCAAAGGTTACGTCACTTTTAAGAAAGAAATATAGAAAGAATGTTGACGAGTATATATACTCAACTACACTACTGAACTACTGAACTACAACTACTGACTAATTAATTCCCGACAAAACAACTACAGTCTCGTTGAATTCTTATTTCTAATCTTTTTCTCCCCTCGTTTAAACAAACTCCTTTAAAATCTTTGAGTTTACGAAAATAACGCGCTCACCGAGTACTCCGTAAGCTCTTGCATCTGATTGGTTTACATTTTTCGATCTAAAGGAATATGTCAAATTGGACGCAAAAGTTCACTACTTGCGATTACACAGCCATGCCATTGGCTGTATATTATCTTAAGATGTGACGTGACCAATGGGTGCGAACTCAACAATTGCACAACAGTTGAGCAATTCGTTAATATAATTGGTCTAGATTTAGAGATCTAACAGTAAGAACCAATAATCGTTGATTGCTCACTGAGCGTTTTTTCCGCTGAACGCGTCCAATGAAACGGTCCGCGTCAACGCGGGTCATGCAAATGGATCATGCGTTATCGCGACATAAGGACGGCCGGAACATATTGGTGAGAAGTCTCGCGTGCAATCATACATATGTAACACGAGGGCCGCGAGTGGAAAGTTGGCCGGCTAATCCCTCGTAATCTAATAAGTAAGGGCAAAGACGGTTGGCGAGAAACGCGACAGCAATGCGTTGATCACCGGCAGATAGGCGATGGCTGGACGAACGTCCAGGGAGGAACGCGAGACGACCCCACCGAAAAATGTCGATAACCTACAGCACCCGATCACGTCCACGTCTACGTCCACGTCAATATCCACAACCGAGTCAACGAATAACGAACGAACGAGTAACGACGTGGCTAATAAGGAGGAGGTGGCGATAGAAGAGCGACTGGTTTTCAAAATGTTTTCTTACGAGATCGTTTGCTTCGTTCTCGCAATCACTTTCACCGCTTTGGCCGCACTGCACAACTCGTGAGTTTTAACCCAGATTTACAATGTGCTCTTCATGTTCTTTTTTTTTCTTTCTGACTTAATGCTTAAGCCTTTAGCCAGAGAAAGATAGAGAACAAGGAGTAGAAAGCAAAGAGCATATTGTAGATCAGATTGTATGAATTTCACTGTGTTGTTATTGTATATGTTGAGTCTGTATTTGCGGATCTTACAGGCCTCCCAAAGTTTCCAAGCCTCCTATAGCGAAACCTTTCTTCAATCGGAGTTCTGTTGTATTGGATTTTTATAAAGGCCACTTAAGCGCAATGATTGAGAGGATAACACAGGCTGACTTCAGCTTCATCATGTATTATGCCCCCTGGGATGCGGAGAGCCAGATGCTTCGACAAGAGTTTGAGAACGTTGCTCAGTTCTACCACCCACAGGTATAAGAACACAATCTACCATTTCACTAATTGTTAAACATTCATGAACTTTCATACATTGTATGTTCCTAGATTTTCTTTGCAGCCATTAATTGTTGGCATCCTAATTCAGAATGCAGAGCACAGTATAATAAAATCCATGGTTATCCAGTGTTAATGTTGTATCCATCTAGGGATTCTGGTATTCATTACAGAGGCATTCGTACAGCACCATACATGATTCGTTTTTTAGATGCAATGATGAATCCTATCATTAGAATAACTCATAAGGAGCAACTGATGGAACTGTTGGTTACATATGACGTAAGTGTAAACTGGAAAAAAACAAGATCATTACTTTTTGACATCAAGTTAGCAGTAGAGCAACTCATCTTAAATTCATGTTCTTGTTCTTTTCTTAAGAAAAGTATTTTTTATACTCTACTACTATTTTTTATACTGTTAATGAAAACATTTCTATTATTAATTTATCAGTTATACAATTTTATTACTGTTTTTATTGCTTCAGCTTGTATAAATTTAAGTAGGAAATTAATGTACAATATATAATAATCCATTATAATTAATTAATTCATCAATGATCTTCTTGCAGGCAGTAGTCATAGGATATTTCAATTTTACAAGATTGGATAGAACTCCTGGATACAAGGAGTTCTACAAAGCCGCGATAGAGTCACTAGAGAGGGATCCTAACAGAGAACTAGTGTTCACTATAGTAACCAATGCATTGTACAGTGAATTAAATTATGGAATCTATAGGTTTCCATCGGCAAGCTTGCTCATGTGGAATGAATCTTTAGTAAGTGCATAACGCGCAAATCTAACCTGCTCTAGTAATAAAACGATATTAAAACACTCAGAGTTATCCGGAAGACAAGGAATGGGTTTCCGAAAACATACTGAATTGGATCAGCAGTTCCATCCATCAGCCATCTCTTTGGCTACAACCTCCTGGTATTAAAGCGCTCACTCTCGCGCCGTATCTACGCGAGGGACCAGTCTTATTACTCTTTACACCACGGAATCCACTTCATACAGAAAATTACATTTACAATCTGGTGCGTTATATTACAAATTCGTATTCTTATTTTTTGTACTCGAGTCGAGAACCATATTAATTTGCATAACATATTATGTGTTAATCAAATTAATTAATGTAAACATATAGAGTCATATTTATGGAATGTATGTGATATCTCTTATGAACATATTCGAATGTTCATTCAGGTAAGGGAAGTCGGCTTGCAATATTATAACTGCGCGGATAACATGTTAGTGAAGGATATAGTCGCGCGTCTGGAAGCAAAACGACGTTCAGCAATAATTCGTCACTTCTCTAGAAATGAAGAGTGTGCCGAACTTCTAGGCGAGAGTAGAGCCTATATTGAAGAAACTAAGAAACCGATTGCCAGTGTATCGATTCAGCAATGGATCAACAACAGTTGCTGTGCAAACGTTGCAATGAATAAATGTGCTATGCGCGAGATAAAGACCATGAGTCCGTCGGTGCAGAAGATGTGCGTGACTGCATCTGAAAAATCCGACGGTGTTTGCAGGGATACCGATATATTTACGCTAACGGTCGGACAATGCGGGAAACAGGTGTACAATTATAATAAAAATTGCGCGAAAATGAAATTACAGGAAGAATCAAAATTGAAAAGGTAACACGTGTGAATTACACGTACACGACATATAATGATTCGTAGCGCGACTCTCACACATTTAAGAGACTTAAATAAATTTTAAATGTTTTATTTCAATGGAATCTACGAGAGAGAACGCCCCGCAATTGGAGTAGTAAATTGTTTGTTTATTTTAAGAACATATGCAGGAGTGAAGTACAAAACATTACCAGAAGGAGAAAATGATCCACTATCCGCAAGTATGGTGCGAAAAAATTTCTTGAAGGAACGTTGCAGAAGATGGTTAGCTGGAAATAATTATCATCCGTCATTGTTTCCGCGAGATTCTCCGAAGCAGTTTAACGTCAGCCTGAAAGAATCGGTTTGCAAGACTAACAAAACGCTAGCTTTGATAGCTATCGACAGTTTACATTACTTCCACTTTGCGGAACGTCTCGGAATTGATATCTCGAAGCGAAGAAATAAAACTACCGTTGTCATCTTGGATGCTGCGGTAAGCTTCAAGACTCGTAGCTTTCTTTTTGCACACTTTCATTATATTACTTTTATTCATTTGTTCCCCTAACTTTAATTGAACATTTCATTTCGTTACACTTTTCATACGTTTTTTTTTATATATTTCAGCTGGAGAGTCAGTATGTCATGCATCATGATTTTAGCGAGTACGCACTCGTTGATTTCATAAATAATTATACGCAAGGTCTGCTGGAACGAACATTACGTTCCGACAATTCGCAATGCTGTGAAACGCAAAAACAAAAAACTTTGTCAAATGGGGACATCTGTAACAATGTAAATAAACGTTCGAAGATTCGCGTACCAGAGCTGACAACAGAAACCTTTCTAGACACAATCTTAGATCCATCCAAGGTTAGTGATTCGACACGGTTACCACTTTGAGATTAGCAATGACACATGATGTATAAAATATGTATAGGCTAAAAGGCCTGAAACTTGTGTCGTTCTCCTCTTTCCATAAGATGTTTGAATACAAAAGTAACTTTAATTAAATTGTTTTTAACTGTCATTAAAGATCCTGTGGATACTCGCATCGTCCATCTCTTTTCAATAACGTCAGAAGCGAGAAAACGCATGCTAAAAATTCCTTCGAAATATGTCGAGATAAAGATATGTCTACAAAATTTTCTCGCTTCCGACGTCATTAAAAAGTACTCGGGAGCTTTAATTTCGAAAATAATTATGTAAAAACATTAAAATAGATACTCTATACCTGAGCATTTTGCTACAGTGTGCTGTGTCGTACTCTATCACTTACACGATAAATAAGATATATATAAAGAGCTAATCGAATTTTTTTTTAATAGGATGTAGTTATAATGCATCACTCTCCTTACTGTGGATTTTGCAGTGCTGTATCGTACATATATTTGACAGTAGCGCATTATTTATCCAATATGGATCATATGATTTTCGTGAGGATTGATGGGGACAACAATGATTTGCCATGGGAATATAGTATGAATCGCTTTCCATCTATCTTATTCTTTCCTGCAAAAAGGTATAATTATTTCTTCGACGTGACTTTTTGTGCAAACATATCTTTCTTGAAGCTTCGTTTAACGTCTTTGACTGAAATTGCAGAAAGGAAGATAGCACGGTATTTCCATTTTCTGTTCCTATCACTATCCCTAATCTACTAAACTTCGTGCTGGCAAATTTGGATGGTGATTCCCACGTTGAAGCTCTGACCAACATTTGTCAAGCAGGGACTGGTGAAGCGCCGGACAAATGCATCGCTAGGACTCGATGGCTGTGCTTAGATATTATCGAGGAACTTTTACGTGACTATAGGAAGTTAAGGCGTCATTTGAATTTCTTAGATAAGAAGGCCGCGCGTAACAAGCGCAAGATCATTCTACTAAAATTAGAGCACATAAAGGACATTCATTTTATTTTGGGTTCTACCGTGAATCTCGCTGAAGATCGAAAGAAGGTACAATTAATCAGAGAGAAATTTTGTAAGTACTACAAAGTTATTAAAATGCTAGAGACGAGTAACAAAATGGACGAACGGCAATACAAATCGAACAACACCGGACACGCTTCGAGTCCTAAGCAGGAAATGAAGAGAAGTAAATTGTGATATAGATTTCACCTTATGAATATTAATCAACGTACGTCCACGTGATGATGGATACTGATATTTTGAGATATCCTAGATACTTTGGTCAATAAATCGATGCCAAACTTTACGAAAACGAAATGATGCATTTTCTCGCTTGGTATTGGCTGTGTTTTCGAAAAATATATTCATATCAAAAAAGATGAAGTGCAAGTTGAGTCTGAGAGGGTTGTGTACAGAGATGATATTTCTAATGTAGCTTCGTGATGCAACATATACCAAGTCAAAGATAAATACGAGACTAAATATGAGAACATAGCCAATGTCAACCGAGTAGATTCAAGCTAAAGAAGATATTAAAAAGTAACAATTCTTACCGGTCGAGAGAGTAAGAATCGTTCTAATACGAAAGATCAGTATGTGATCTGCTCATTTGTATTTCTATACAGTGTGCTTGCTAATGGTGCGATAACACTTGTAAAGTTATGTAAATATTGTTATATATTACGATTATAGTAAATCTGTATGCGTGCGTGCGTGCGTGCGTGTATGTATGGATTCGTGCGATAGCACTGTTTATCATTGTTGAAATTTTAGCTAAGATATTGAATAATTACAAAATGGTGCATTAATTGAAATTTTTTCAGAGGAAATAATTGTTATATTTTAGTTCCGGGACTCCGTGATAGAATGTGTAATATTTCTAAATTTTTTTGTTACATCTTTCTTCGAACCTCAACAAATATTGTAGCGTAATAGTACTACGTTCGGTTCTATTCTCCGACCTTTATTTATAATTATTTCAAGAATATATCGATATGGCTGTGGAGCGTCAAGCGTTTATACAATACTACAGAAATATCAAAGTTCGCACGAGAATAAAATCGGTCGGGCCCTTTTCCCTTATATACACAAATACTTACGAAATACAAACAAAAGAAAGAATGCATGTGCTGTAAAAATCAAAGAGATGATCACATAGATATATACAAATCATCATACAAATCACTCTAAATATTCTGGATAAGATAGCGTGTATCAGACACGATCAATTACGTGAATTGTCCACATTCGCAATACTTCTCCGTTTTATTTATAAAATTGAGTTACTTATTGTACGTCATGAAATTCTTAGTAAAATGATACGCGAGAGGAAACTCGTTTCCTTCGCTGATACGATCACTGCATCGACTATTCACTGTGTTATTTATCGTTGTAAAATTCTCATTCACATGCTGTCTGAGATTTGGGTTTTTTAAGATTAATCATTACGTTATATGTAATCAAGTAAGCTTTATGATTTTCAAAAGAGAAAGTGCTAGTCTCGTAACGTAATACAATACAATTGGCGTAATCAATAATACGTATTGTAAGTTGCATTTTGTACTGGATAATTTTACGATTAAATGCTGTGTGAAAGTAAGACGCATACAAGGAAATTAAAATGATATAAAAGGACAGAACAACTAATTCTAACGAAATAAATGAATGTATCGGTACAACTTGTTTAACGCATTATTTTTTTTATTCAAGTTTCATGAAGCTGCATCTGTGGTATCACAACAATGCCCTCGCAAATACAAGATGTCTCGAAAATCGGTTCATCATCACATCACGGATAAATGAGAATCTCCGAGACTCTCCGATGCTTATAATGCGTCGCGCATATAATAACGGATGAGTACCAATCGTAAGAGGTAATTTAGATTGGCGAACGCGGATTGTACATTTTGGTCCTTTGCCCGTCGCTGCCATTTGTTGCTACACGCTCTCGCGCGCAAGCACAATACTTCGTAAAATAATCTATTACATACGAAGGCGTGTGCAACAAACGTAGCATCGAAGTCGCACCGCATCGTTATCGCATTGCATCGCATAGTTTCTAAGAGCTGCTGTTGCCGCCGTCGCAGTTGTTGCTGCAGTTGCAGCTCCGGGCACTTCCGCTCTCACAATTAAAAAAGTTCTCTCAAAATAATTTCCAACAAATCACATAGCAGCCCAATAAATACCTTAAAACATCTAACAGCGTTATCGCCTACCGTTAAGATATATAAAAACTCGAAAAGAAAGAAAAGAGAGCAAGTAAAAGATATAGAAAGGGAAAAAGAGAAACGTTTATTATGCGCTCTGAACTGAGCCAGCTTAAAGAATAGCTAGATGTAAGGAGACGGGGGAGGGGAGGAAATAACGCGATTTGATGATTCGTTAAACCCGTAAGTATGTAATAATTAGGTACACCTGTCATGGAAGAGATCGCGTAAAAAAAAGTGCTCTCGAGATTCTCATAAATTAAACGAGTGTTTACAATGCCGCGTGTGTGAGATTTTGTGTATGTAATGTATGTTTGTATGTCGTCACGTACAATGGTGAAGCTGAGCTCTGGCGGATAAATTTCTGAGCAAAAGATGTATCCGATCGAAAATGCCCAAAAGAAACTTGGTAAATTCACACACACGCACCAACACGCGCGCGCGCGCACACACACACACACACACACACACAGGGTGTCCGGTAACTCACAAAGGAGCCGTGATATATAGATAAATTAAGCAAAACAGAACAAAAAATTCCTCTACCATTTTGCAAACCACGTAAAATTTTGAGTTATTAAAAATCAAAGAAGATTCGTAAATCACGCCATACGGTAGATGGCGACGTTTAATGATCATTCTCGAGTAAAAGTTTGCCATTAGTCATTGTAAAATGTCACACAATGTGGAATATACTAAATCTACTAAATATCTCAAACATGAATCGAACAAAAATTCGATCTACGAAATAATGTATTTTCAGGTCTATAGCTGATTTTCCTTTTTTACTTCTCCGAACTTGAGATACGTGAATTTTTAGATCTAACTTCCTTTGAGACTGTGTATCGTCCAAAGTTATTCAATTAATGTTTTCTCTTTTCAGCAGATCAAAAGATGATATCAAAATTGATAATTCTAACAAGTGCCGATAAATTCCCTAATAGCACAGATGTTTAGAGGACATTCAGAGTATATCCTGAGGAAGTCCTGAGAACACTTCTTCGTCCTTAGGAGATTTTATTTTATGTCTGGGTTTCTTTGATTTCTACTTCGAGACAATCGTTCTTCGATTATATCCGTCCAATACAACTGAGTAATTGATACCAAGTTATAATTGTTGCTTTTTTAATGTTTCTACCGTTTAGAAGTTTATCGATCAAAAACTCAGCTTCGCCCTACACACAGCCACGTGATATCCCATAAAGGGTGCATGCCGCGACAGTGGTGTGTGCTCAACATTGAGCAGAATCCACGCTAATTACCTCGCTAAGCTGTTGTTTGCGGTATGCGCTGTTATCAGCGCCCCTTTATAGGACATGTAGGCTGGCTACGCAACGACCAGTCCACGCGTATAACATATCTGTTAAAAAAACAGACGCAGTAAAAACAAGTGTTCGATCGTGTAAGGCGAATACCACGATGGGAGAGATATAGAGAAGTCTGATCCGGGATACGGCGCGTCAATAATATAAGTAGCGAAGCTACCGTACACTTGCTCGCGCTTTGCTTTGCTTTGCTTTGCTCTTGGCGGCCACATCGTGCAACGCCTAATGTCCATTGACACTCTATTACTATTCAACAATTCAAAATACTTATAATGATACACACAACCTTGAATAATCTCAACAGCTGCTGGCCTTAGCCCGAACTAACTTACGCATACATCGTGGATACAAAAGTAATTTCTCGCTATTGCTACGTTTCGCACACGCTCTATTCTCAGAACGCTCTCGATCCATACTCTGATCAGCGCCGCGGGGTCCTTGCGTATCATCCCGCTTTGCTCTCTTTTCCTCGATCACTTTCAGTTTGTGAGCGAGTGTGTACACGTTGCGTCACACTCGGCTGAGACGTTCGTTCTCTCCATTGTGGAATCAAATACGACTGCAGTTACTAACTAGCAATTGAAACTGCGCGAACACGAACCAGGCATCGGGAACATCGCCTGTGATCCTCGCTCGCGCGCACATCTGTTTGGTTTTCTTTGCGACAAACGGGG